GGATACACATGGTATAGCGTATGATCTCATGGTTTTTCAAAAAGGAAAATGTATCCCTGGAGAGAGATCTTTAAAAAATGTAAATTGATATATTAACATCATCAATTTCCAGTGGTTTTCACTGTATTCTTTACACCTTTATGTAGAACTTAAATTTTAATATTATATTAATCATTGAAAGCACTTTTCAGTTTAAGAAAAGGTGTTTCTTAACATGTTTCAAATATCTTCATACAAAATATGTACGTTACAAATTGCTCTTTTCACATGATGTGCCCTGATTCAAAAACACAAGTGACAGCATTGCTTCAGTGTAGCGAGCAGTAACATCAACAGCACATGCTGATGCCAAGAGGAATAGCATTGGCCAAATGAAAGGGTTAAAGCAGGTACCCAATAATTTCCCCACTAGTCCCACCCAGGAAACAATATATCTCCTTAAACCAATAAATGCTACTTGCTGAACTATTTATATAAAATTTTATTTTTTAAAATTGGTGTATTTTTTATCAGATGTGCATTAGCCAGAGAAAGGAAAGGAGCCAGCCCTTCCTGGGAGCATATGGAGTGCCCTAAGGCCAGACAGTGTTCTGGATTCCCCATGGTCCTCCTGTGGGTTATGCCTGGTGAAGAAGAGACCCAAGGTTCAAATCTGTCCTCCCTCCTTTCCTGGCCACGTGTGGTTGGGCCAGTTGCTGAACATTTTAAAATCTCTTTCCTCTGGGTAAATGGTGATGATAAGAGCATTCTTTCACCGATAGTGAGGATGAATTCAACTGGTGCACATGAGTGTGCTCCGGGAGCATCTGACACTGGTAAACACTTGGTGAGAGTGAACAGCTATTATTTATGTGGTCCCCAGCCCAACAAGCTAGGGCCAGCCTGCTAAAATCACATTGTTAACGGGGAAGCTAGGATTCAAAGAAGGGTCTTTCTGACTTCACCGCCCATGGTTTCCATGCTGGAGAAGTGTGCCTGCGATTGTACAAAGCACGAGTGGGAGAGGAGGGAGAGCACAGATATTAGGGGGAAGATAAATGGACAGTGAGAATGGGAAGTTAAGAAAAAGGAAGAGGCAAAGGAAAATGCAGGGAGAGCCATGAGGGTTAGGAAAGGGAAGCAGAGAGGCCAGGGAGTGGAAGAGTGGGGAGAGCGAGAGGAAGGAGAGAGGAAAGCAGAAGCCTCCCCCTCCCTCCCCCCGAGTTCCTGGCGAGTTTCTGGTTAGTTCTTGGTCCTGGGACTTCTTCCCTCTTCTTTGCCTAAGGCAGTTTGCTTTTCCCAGTTCCAGCTCTGGCCCCACCCTCACTGCCCCAGCACTGCCCCAAGGACAAAGTCCCAATCCCTGAGCGTGGGTTAGAGCTGTAAGTTAAAGCACGACTCCCTCCTACCTAATCTTTCTAGACACACCTTCAGCTGTTCTCTGCTCTCTATCCTTTCCCTCTATTTTTAACTATAAGAAAATAGACTTTATTCCCCTACTGCCAGATTACAACCACTTTATTCATGAATGCTTTGCCTATTTTTAAAAAAAGTTCTGACACTCAGCAGAACACATCAGTGCTGTATTTTGATAGTAAACTGAAAAATTAACTTAATTTTTATATAATTGGTATTTAATTTTTCAGTAAAAACTATCATTATCAAAATGATGTATCATTTTCCATGAAATGATACTGTAGTTATTTCTACCCAGTGTCATCTTAGTGATTTTCTTTAAAGATTTATTTATTTATTTTAGAGGCAGGGGAGGGGTGGAGGAAGAGAGGGAGTGAGAATTCAAGCTGACTTCCCACGGGCTGGGATCCCAAAGTGGGGCTCTGATCTCACCTCCTAAAAATCATGCCTAAGCTGCAGTCAAGAGTTGGAGACCTAACAGACTGAGCCATCCAGGCGTCCCCAGTGTCATCTTACTTATAAAAATGTGATAAGAATCCTCACAATCACAAAAAGTTATTTTGGCTTAGAGAATAGCATATCCCTTTACTCTTTGGTGAACTCCCAAACTGTATTGATATATTGCACACTGTAGGCATTGTGATACTTACTTTTTCTTATTTCTTTCAACTCTTCTCTCCTTGCTTTACCTACCTGTCCCTTCCCCTAATTTCCCCAAGTTTTTTAAACTCATAAACTGGAGATGAATGTTATAACAGCAAAATACAGCACAAGCAGACCAGCAACAACCCAGATCTGCCTAATAATGTTGCAGACCAACTTGCAGTGCTAGAGCTCAGATTTATAAATGTGTAGGAACTGATGACCACAGGCAAGGTAAGCCAGAATTGACAATGGGAAGATTTGGAAGTGGTCTTTGAGAAGTTATTTAACCCAGCGACTTATTTATTTTTAATATTTTTAAGCCTTATTCTTTTGTGACATAAGCCCCATTGTTCTAGCAGACTCAGGATACTAGCCAGCCAAGCAAGCTAATAAACAAGTTCCCACCACATTTCATGAAGAGGGCACCAGTTCTGAACAGACCTCAGTGTGTGTTGTGAGCTCATGCCATGTGACATTTCCTGTCATAGAGAGTGCATAGTGCTTGGTAATAGGTTTGTTATTGAAAGGCAATCTCAGACAATGCATAGTAGATAGAATCCTTTTTCAGGAGGTTGATGTGGCTGGTCTTCTGTACCTCCAGCAGGAAAATTCTAGAAGGGTGAAATGACCTTCAGAAAAGGGGATTCTGGGCACTTGGGTGGCTCAGTAGTTGAGTATCTGCCTTCAACTCAGGTGTTGATCCCGGGGTCTGGGATTGAGTCCCACATCAGGCTTCTCACAGGGAGCCTGCTTCTTCCTTTGCCTATGTCTCTCATGAATAAGTAAATAAAATCCTTTTTAAAAAAAAGGGATTCCAAAAGTGTCCATTCATTTATAAATCTTATATTAAGTGGCTGTTTGGGATGCAGTCTTAGTAAAGAACTATGCTTTTTAACCAAAACATTCTCTAATGCCTTCATTGCCGCAATTTCTGACATTGGAATGCAGGTCATGCTCCCATTAGCAGACATGTATGGACTGTTCTGGGTCAGCTCTATGTCTATTAAGATTTGAAATGTGCTCTTATGGAACATGTAGTTTAATAGAGAAGACAGACTATTAAACAGCTAAAAATAACAGTATAATAGGTAGTATAAAAACATATAAAGTGCTGAAGAAATACAAATGAAGGAGCTATTTTATTGAATTGAAGGGCAGGTGGGGCCTTAAAGGATGAATAGGAGTTTTCTAGGCAGGAGGGATGAGAAGCGTGTTTCTCATAGAGCTCACCAACAGAGGCGTGAAGGCAAAAGAGTGCATGACATATTCAAGGACGGTGGCAGGTGGAGTGGCAGTGGGGAGGATTAGCATTGGCTGGAGTGGTACCATATGTAACTGGAGGAATGAACTAGGCCAGAGTGTGCTGAGAGCCTAGAAAGTAGAGGTGATGTTGGAGTGTTGAGGAAAGAAGGTGTGGAACAATCTTTCTGTTTTCTACTTGTGGAAATCTTACTCATTTTCATTAGCTCCTCCCTGACCTAGCTGCTACCTGGGAAAAAGAAAGGCCTCTCCTTCTTTCCTCCCCATGTGTTTTTGTTCATAGCTGCTTATCCCATTGCTTCATGCTTGGCTGAGATATATATCTATCTTTCTCTGTAGGCTGTGAAGCCCCTGAGGGGTTGGGATTTTGTCTTATATATTTAGGTTACTCAGCTGCATAATAGATGTCAGATAAATGTTTCTTAGACTGGGTTATTCCATAGATTAATATCTCAACTAAGGTATATTCCAACTTTAAAATGGTAAAGATTCTATGATTCTAAATCTTAATGTCTTCCACACTGGCCTAATTTCATGTAGTCTAAATGACAGAGATTATTATCTTAAGAATTGAAGAACTCCTTTGGCATCATCACTTGTTTGGCATGAATCACTTTTTTTTCTTAAATGTAATTTGTTTAAATTCAAAGTTTTTTGTCTAGGAAAATGAAATGTTCACATTTTGAAACTCTAAAAATAACATACTGGAAGAGTTGGTGCCAAAACAATGGTTTCAATCAGAAATGCTCTGTGAATCTAGCATCTAAGTGAGACCTAATTACTGAATCAGATCACGGTTACTAGGCATTCATTATTTTAAGGCAATTAACATCACTATTGAGAAACCTAAGTGATGAAATATTTTAAAAACTCTCCAGTTTTGCTCCAATTTCTAATGTGTTAGGATGACCAAATGCTCTTTATAGGCGAGATAAAATGGCAATGATGATATCTTTTAATAAAGTTTTAATGAATATCAATCTTATTCTATTTGTGGATAGATAGGTTCTCCTGAATCAGATCCGGTTGATTACGTATTGATTTAAGATGAATTTAGAAATAAGTGCTCTTAATTTGCTAGGAATTTACTAAATTTGCTGAGATCATATTTACTAAGGTAGTTTTCTACCTTACATGATTGAATAAGCCTGTTAAACTATCTTGTTTCTGTAAAAGTGGTTTCTCAAGCTTGAAATGCAGTTATGGGAGGAGGAAACTTCAAAAAAATCTGTTTAAGAGTCCTCGTTGATCTAACAAGGCTTAGCAGTATTTTTTTTAAGATTATTTATTTATTTATTTATTTATTTATTTATTTATTTATTCATGAGAGACAGAGAGAGAGAGAGAGAGAGAGAGAGAGGCAGACACACAGGCAGAGGGAGAAGCAGGCTCCATGCAGGGAGCCCGATGTGGGACTTGACCAGGACTCCAGGATCACGCCGTGGGCCGAAGGCAGGCTCTAAACCGCTGAGCCACCCAGGTGCCCCAAGGCTTAGCAGTATTAATTTTGATTTTTCTTGATCCTTTTCTCCTTATTTGCTGTTTATTTCATGTATAGGATATAAGACCTTTAATAATATAACTGATCAGTATGTCAGAATTAATATACGATCCACTTAGTAATTTAATAATAAACTTTAGATGTCATTTAAATTCCAGATATAAACTGTTAAATAATTTAATGCTTTTTTTTCCCACAGATGTGAATTATTAAAAAGAAAATGGCCCAACGGAGCACTGTATTTCCTTCTCTCGTCACCGAGGAAAGGTATAATATATGGAAAATATGCATCTAAGGTATACTTTTCCTTTCCACCAATCCCATGAGGGCTGCTAGTGGGTGTGATGGTTATTATAAATGAAGCCTTGTGGCTGTTACATTACCCAAGGATGATTTTGTTCAAGGGCAAGAGAAGTACAGTTGCGCCCCTCTCCAGCATCCAATTTGTAGGATCTGCTCAGTGATGATAAGTGGAGACTTTGTAATAGCCCTACAGTACAGCTGTACCTCTGGTCACTAGGAAAATGCAACTCTGGATGCTTGGGGGCTAATGTCCCACTAACCCTCTTAAATCAGAAGTTGCAGACTGGGGATCCATAGACCAGAACTGGCTCATGGAAGCATGTTGTTTGGCCTGCATTATCATAAATACTTCTTTTTTTGTATATATATTTTTTGGAGTTCAATTTGCTGACTCATAAATACTTTTTAAATGACTTGTTAACATTTAAAAATCAGATGATTTCACATACAAGTCTGAATTTCCCACTATTCTTGAAATAAGAGATAATCTGCAAGAATAGACCTGTATTCCCCATTGGTCATTCATGGATGGAGCAAAACTGTGGCTGCTTTAGTGGAGGAATGCCCTTTCCAGGTCCCCAAGGTCCCCTCCCTGTCCTGTCAAATATGATATGCATCATTTGTTTATGTCATCTGCTTGACCCTTGTAGGCATTTGAATTTGTTGTTATGTTAAAAAACAGCTGTAGGGGGATCCCTGGGTGGCGCAGCGGTTTGGCGCCTGCCTTTGGCCCAGGGCGTGATCCTGGAGACCTGGGATCGAATCCCACGTCGGACTCCCAGTGCATGGAGCCTGCTTTTCCCTCTGCCTGTGTCTCTGCCTCTCTCTCTCTCTGTGTGACTATCATAAATAAATAAAAATTTAAAAAAAACAAAACAATCGTTTAAAAAAAAACAGCTGTAGGGGAATGGAGGGGAGGGCGTGTCAGGAGACTTTGTGAATAGGTGTTTTTTTTTAAAAAAAGATTTATTTATTTTAGAGAGAGAGCCTGTGCATCTGTGAATAGGGGGAGGGGCAGGAGGAGGGACAGAGAGGGAGAGAGAAAGAAGCAGACTCCCCACTGAGTGTGGAACCCAAACTAGGGCTCCGTTTTGTTTCACAGCCCTGAGATCATGACCTGAGCTGAAATCAAGAGTTGGGACACTTTTTTTTTTTTAAGATTTTATGTATTTATTCATGAGAGAGACACAGAGAGAAGCAAAGACACAGGCAGAGGGAGAAGCAAGCTCCATGCAGGGAGCCCGATGCAGGACTCGATGTGGACTCGATCCCGGGTCTCCAGGATCACGCCCTGGGCTGAAGGTGGCACTAAACCGCTGAGCCACTGGGGCTGCCCAAGAGTTGGGACACTTAACCAACTGAGCTATGCAGGTGCCCCAATAAGCTTGGTCTTAAGAAGCTTATATTGGAATTGGGCATATCTCTGTATGTCCAGTTCCACCAGCCTCTTGCTTTTGGAGGCCATGGAGCCTTGTTATCAGCACAGTTAAGTCTCTGGGTATCACTGTTTAAAGATAACTGGCTCCCCGAGAAAACTCTTTGTGGCAGAAACCCGGCCTCAAACCCCATTTAGCTTGTAGGGATAGATAATTTGCATTTCCTTCTTTGGGAAGTTTTGAATCTGACTTTGAAAATTACCTTTTCCCAATTGACAACCCTAATAATGTGGCTCCCTTCCACAGGCGAGTTAGAACCATGCCCCGACATAGCCAGTCCCTGACCATGGCACCATACTCATCTGTAAGCCTAGTGGAACAACTGGAAGATAGGATCCTCTGCCACGAGAAAACAACTGCAGCCCTTGTGGAGCACGCCTTCCGGATTAAAGACGACATCGTCAGCAGTTTGCAGAAAATGCAAAACAAAGGCGGAGGTGACCGCTTGGCCAGGCTTTTCTTGGAGGAGCACATCAGAAACATAACTGCCATAGTGAAACAACTCAATCGGGATATTGAGGTGAGTTAGGTGTGTGAGAGTCAGGGGGCCGCGTTCCTCCTCGCAGACCTGCTCCTCTTCCCCACATGGGGTCAGCAAGTCAAGTTCCTGCCTCCTAGGCAGTAATGCATTCACATCAGAGCTTTCCAGTCTTGTGTATTCTAGTGATCACCAAGGAAACAAGCTTGAGCAAATATCCTAATTAAATTTATTTCAGTATTTGATATCAGTTACTGTCAGTGTTATTTATGTTTAATCTAAATTTACCTTGCTGACTATTAAATCACTTTGTTTTGTTTGGCTCTCAATGGAGAAAGAGAAGAACTAGTCAAATAGTTTCTCTGTAAAACCCTTCGTATCGTCGAAGATAGCTATTAAGTCAATTACTAGGTCAGCCTTTGCTGCTTCAGATGAAATGTTTCTAGGCCATAATGATTATATATATAATACAGTTTATTACTCAAACAATTTAGGAATTTGAATTGCTTCTCAGACTTTCCTTTTATTGCTTTATTTTTTTTCTCTGAAATGAGCCCAATAAAAAGCCAATATTGTCTAATTTTTAAAGTTTGTAAATCTGCTATTTATTGAATAATCACAGAGACCACACAGTTTAGTTCAGAAGCGTAATAAGATCATTTAGGGCTTGGGCTTTCATTACTGAACAGTGGTAATATCCTTCACATGTAATTTTTAAATATATATAAATAAAAGGTATCTGGATAGATTAAGGAAAACCTTTGTTCCCACTCATAGAGATTGTATCTGAATTATGCTTCCTGAAATTAAGCCTCATTTTTTTCAGTGTCAAAGTGTGTTTATTCATTTTCTTAACAGCTTTATTGAGGTATGATTTATAAGGCACAAAAATCTACCCAGTGTAAGTATATAATTCAATATTTTTAGAAAATGTATAGAATTGTGCAACCATCAACATAATTTAATTGTAGAACATTTCCATCACCCCCGAAATTTGTATAGTTCTGTCTGCAGTCAGAACTTCTACCCAAGCAAGGCCCAACCACTGATCTGCTTTCTGTCTCTAAATGTGTCTTTTCTGGGCATTCCAGTTTTATAATATGAAGTCTTTTGCAACTGACTTTTTTCACCTCGGATAGTCTTTTTGAGGTTTAGCTATGTTCTAGCACATGTCAGTGCAGGCATACCTCAGAGATATTACAGGTTTGGTTCCAGATCACCACAATAAAGCAAATATTGCAATACAGCAAGTCAAATGAATGTTTTGGCTTCCCAGTGCATGTAAAAGTTATGTTTATACTATGCTGTAATCTATTAAGCATACAGTAGCATTATATCAAGAGAATGTACTTACCTTAATTTAAAAACACTTTATTGGAGGTGCCTGGGTGGCTCAGTCAGTTAAGCATCTGCCTTTGGCTCAGGCCATGATCCCAGGGTCTTGGGGATGAACCTCACATCAGGCTCCCTGTTCAACGTGGAGTCTGCTTGTCCCTCTCCCCTCTCTTCCCCTGCACTCATGCTCGTTCTCTCTCTCTCTCTCTCTCTCTCTCTCTCTCTCTCTCTCAAATACATAAAAATTTAAAAACAATGGCAACAACAAAAACCACTATTGGGCTCCATGCTGGGCATGGAGCTTACTTAGAAAAAATGAAAAATTAAAATAAATAAATAAAAATACCTTATTGCTTCAAAGTGCTAACCATCATCTGAGTCTCCAGTGAATCGTAATCATTTTGCTTATGGAGGGTCTTGCCTCTATGTTGATGGCTGCTGACTGGTCAGGGTGGTGGTTGGTGAAGTTGGGGCGACTGGGGCAATTTCTTAAAAATAAGACAATAAGATCAATCAATCAATCAATAAAAGTTTGCTCCATTAATTGGTTCTTGTTTTGTGAACAATTTCTCCATAGCATACGATGGTGTTGATACTATTTTACCCATAGTAGAACTTCTTTCAAAAGTCTTATCAACTACCTATTCTGAATTTTTTGTTGTCATTTCAATAGTCTTCACAGCATCTTTACTAGGAGTAGACCGCATTTCAAGAAACCACTTTCTTTGCTCGTCCATAAGAAGCAGCTCTTCGTGTTTTATCAGGAGATTACAGCAATTCAGTCCCATCTGCATGCTCCACTTCTAATTCCAGTTCTCTTGCTATTCTCACCACATCTGCGGTTACTTCCTTCCCTGAGGTCTTGAACCCCTCAAAGTCATCCATTAGGGTTATAATCAACTTCTTTCAAGTTCCTGCTAATGTTGATATTTTGACTTCTTCCCATGAATCATGAATGTTCTTTACAGCATGTAGAATGGTGAATCCTTTCCAGGGGGATTTCCAGAAGGAATCCTGATCCCTGGTAGCTGTAGCTTTGTGAAATGTACTCCTTAGATAGTAAGACTTGAAACTTGAAAGACTTGAAAGTACTCCTTGATCCATGGCTGCAGAATGGATGTGGTGGTGAGCAGGCATGAAAACAACATTTATCTCATTGTACCTCCCCGTCAGAGTTCTTGAGTGACCAGGTATGCTGTCAGTGAGCAGTGATATTTTGAAAGGAATCTTTTTTTTCTGGGCAGCAGATCTTAACAGTGGGTTCAAAATATTCAGTAAACCATGTTGTAAACAGATGTGCTGTCATCCAGGCTTTGTTCCACTAACGGACAGCACAGGAAGAGTAGGCTTATAATTCTTAAGGGCCCCAGGATTTTCATCATGGTAAGTGAGCATTGGCTTCAACTTCAGGTCACCAGCTGCATTAGCCCCTAACAAGACAGTCAGCCTGTCCACTGAAGATTTGAAGCCAGGCATTGACTTCTCCTGTCCAGCTATTAAAGTGCTAGATGGCGTCTTCTTCCAATATAAGGCTGTTCCATCTACATTGGAAATCTGTTGTTTAGTGTAGCCACCTTCATTTGTTATCTTACATAGATCTTCTAGATAACTTGCTGCAGCTTCTACATCAGCACTTGCTGCTTCATGTTGCACTTTTATATTATGAAGATGGCTTTCTTCCTTAAACGTCATGAACCAATCTCTGCTAGCTTCAGATTTTTCTTCTGCAGCTTCCTCACCTCTCAGCTTTCATAGAATTAAAGAGAGTCAGGGCCTTGCTCTGAATTCTGCTTTCTTTGGCTTATGGGAATGCTGTAGCTGTTTTGATCTTCTGTCCAGATTACTAAAGCTTTCTCTGGATCAGCAACAAGTCTGTTTGGCTTTCTTATCATTTGTGTGTTCACTGGAGCAGCACTTACAATTTCCTTCAAAAACTTTTCCTTTATGTTCACAACTTGGTTAACTCTTTGACACAAGAGACCTAGCCTTTAGTTCATCTTGGCTCTGAACATGCCTTTCTCATTAAGCTTTATCATTTCTAGCTTTTGATTTAAAGTGAGAGATAGAGGGCAGCCCGGGTGGCTCAGCGGTTTAGCACCGCCTTCAGCCCAGGGTGTGATCCTGGAGACCCGGGATCGAGTCCTGTGTTGGGCTCCCTGCATGGAGCCTGCTTCTCCCTCTGCCTGTGTCTCTGCCTCTCTCTGTGTCTCTATGAATAAATAAAATGTTTAAAAAAAAAATAAAGTGAGAGATAGGGGCAGCCCGGGTGGCTCAGCGGTTTAGTGCCACCTTCAGCCCAGGGCCTAATCCTGGAGACCCGGGATCGAGTCTCACATCAGGCTCCCTGTATGGAGCCTGCTTCTCCCTCTGCCTGTGTCTCTGCCTCTCTCTCTCTCTTTCTCTCTGTGTGTCTGTCATGAATAAATAAATAAAATCTTAAAAAAATAAAGTGAGAGATATTTGGGCTGCCTGGGTGGCACATTCAGTTAAGAGTCCAACTCTGGGTTTTGCCTCAGGTCATGATCTCAGGGTTGTGGGATCAAGCCCCATGTCAGGCTCTGAACTCAGCATGGAATCTGCTTGAGATCCTCTCTCCCTCTCCCTCTGCCCCTCCCACTCATGCGCTCTCTCTCTCTCTCTCTCTCTCTCTCTCAAATAAATAAATTTAAAAAAATTTTAAAAAGTGAAAGATGTGCAACTCTTCCTTTCCCTTGAACATTTAGAGGCCATTGCAGGGTTATTCATTGGCCTGATTTCAATATTGTGTCCCAAGGAAAGGGAGAAAGATGGAGGAATGGCTAGTAGGTGAAGCAGTCAGAATATATGCATGTTTATTAAGTTCACTGTCTTATATGGGTGCAGTTTGTGGTGTGCCAAAACAAGCATGGCAGTAACATCAAAGGTCACTGATCACAGATCTCCAGAACAAATATAATAATAATAATAATAATAATAATAAAGTTTGAAATATTGTGAGGATTACCCAAATGCGACATAGAAACATGAAGTGAACAAATGCTGTTAGCAAAATGGCAGTGGCAGACCTGCTTAGTGCAGGGTTGCCACAGACCTTCAATTTGTAGAAAATGCAGTATCTGGGAAGCTCCATAAAGCAAAAAACAATAAAGCAAGGTATACCTGTAGTTCATTTCCTTTTGTTTTTGAGTAGTATCCTGTTGTTTGGATATACCTCATCTTGCTTATCTGTTCATTTATTGATGGGCATTTGGATTATCTCCCGGCTTTAGCTATTATGAGTAAAGCTGCTATGAAACTTGTGTACAAGCCTGTGTGGACATGTTTTCATTTCTCTTGGGTAAATTACTAGGAGTGGAATTGCTGGGTCTTAAAGTAGCTTATGTTTAACTTTTTAAGACATAGCCAAATAATTTTCCAAAGTGGCTATAGAGATTCTACAATTTCATCAGCAATGTGTGAGATTTCTTGTTTCTCCACATCCTTGTCAACACTTGGTATTATCTCTCTCTTTGATTATAGTCGTTACAGTGGATGTGTAGTCGTATTTCACTGTAGTTTAATTTGCATTTCCCTGATGACTAATGATGCTGAGCACCTTTTCATGTGCTCATTGGTCATTTGTACGTCTGCTTTGGTGAAAAACGTCTACTTACGTCTTCTGCCCATTTTTTAAAAATTAGTTTTTAAATTATGGCAAGATATTTACCATTTTAGCCACTAAGTATACA